CTGTATCTTTACATGTGAGATATCATGTGAACACAAGTTTAGGTTTGCGCACCGAGACACGTGAGAAATTAGGGTATATGCACCTGTTCATATAACTCATTTAGTCCATGTGTTGGGCAATTATGATGAGTAGTCCATGTGTTGGACACTTATCACTTTCAGTCCATGTGTTGGACCGTTTACATATGCAGTCCATGTGTTGGACATCCACTACATCAGTTTAGACCTTGAGAGTTAACACATATACTTGCATAGGCTGGACACGACATTTATACGAGTTGTAACACAACACCGTAATTACGTCTGAGATGAGTTTGCCTTCTTTTATTAATATTTCTTGTATTAGATTTTGGGTTTGGTATTTAGGGATGTACAATTTGAGATACAAGGTATATACATGAGGGTTTCCTTGTTTGGATTATTTCGCTCGACGTACCTATGCTCCATAGGTACTTACAATATGAGCTATATGGTATATACATGAGGGTTTTCTTGTTTGGATTATTTCGCTTGACGTACATATGCTCACATTGTAATTACCTAAATAGGATTTGTGATTTTATATATATGTTATAATTGTATTTTCTGTATACAACGAGCCCTTTTCCTTTGGGGTTGGTTTGTAATGTTGCTCGCTAGCGCTTTGACGCTCGTTGTCCCTTCTCCTTTCAGGTAACGAGCCAGGAGCCCGGAGAGTCGCAGGTTGATGGTAAGGCACTTTAGCTTCGGCTATTCTATTATAGTTATATTTTACTTTTGAGCTCCACTGTAGGCTTTTGTTTAGACATTTTGAGAGTTTATTTCTAGAAGTTGTAAAGGTTGTGTGCCTTATTTTATTTTATTCAGACATTTGTATTTGAGACTTGTTGAGAAGTTCCAGTTTACTCATTGCAGACATTGACTTATACTTCAGTATGTTAGATGATGAAATATTAATTTGATCTCTATTATTTCATCAGTTGACTCTTGTATTATCTTTTACTTGCTTTTGTACCTACACCTGTTATTTGACTCTACTAGAGAGATAGTAATTGTGATGGTGAAACATGTTATTACACGGTGTGGTGCATGGCAGGTTTGACATTCTTGGTTTCACCTTGGACTGCAGTCTTGTGTGAACCCAGGGGCGTCACACTGATACCAGTTATTGGGAATTTACCCGCCGGGATTACGCAAAACCCCTAAGATAGCAGAAACACAGTATAGAGAAAATATACTAATATTTAACGAGGTTCGGCAACTGCCTACGTCCTCGGGAGCCACACAGTAAATTTCTTATTAATCTAACAAGAAATTATAATTCAAGAGCGAATCTCAAACTTGAGATTCCTCAATAAATACAATCTTCACTATAGCTACAGTAAAGGTTCCCCTCTTCTTTAATACACCTTTTAATAGAGAATATTCCCACAATAAATTCCCCTCAACAAACTGTGAGCTGGAAAATCACAAGAGGAGAAGAGGAAGAAAAATGCTGCTGCGTTTTTGAGTCCGCCGCCAGGAGGTTGAGATCACAAGAGAGAAAGGGGGGGGGGGCGACAGACTGTCGACAGCCTAGAAATCCTCCACGAGCTCGCCTGTCACGAGCGCCTCGACCCCGCCTGCTAGCTACGAGCCCGCCTATGAGTCAATCTCGCCTGCAGCTGCGAAGAACTCGCCTACACGAGAAGTCGCCAGCCACGAGAAGTCGCCTGCACGAGAAGTCGCCAGCACGAGAACTCGCCTGCAACTCGAGCTCCGCCTGCAGCCGCTGACCTCGCCTGAGCTTCATCCTCGCCTGGAGAAGCTCGCCTGCAGGTTTGGGCTTCACCCCCAATTCTAACATCTTTCACATTCAAGTGTTTTCTTTCCAGATTTTGGCTCTGACCAAGCGAGTTCTTGCTCCTTTTAGGTTGGGGATCAGACACACTAGTTGTCCACACTAATGTATATATATATATATATATATATAATGTTAATTTGTTATTACCGTGTGCAAAATGTTTTGTGAAACTATTTTACATAGGCATGCTCCTGACGTTCCTAAGCAGAAACCTTCGTCTACAGGGATCAGCCTGATATTTATTCCTCAGTCATATATCATTTGCTAATTGTCAACTTTTATTGGTAAATAGGAGTTTTACTTTTTAACTGTTTATTGCTTTGCGGTTAGTATAGTTTAAATCTTTTGAGTCTTTTGCAGTGCCATTAGATTTCATTATGTGAGAAAGCAGAAAGACCTCCATTAAATCTTAACTCTATAGATAAGTGCAGTGTTCAATGGAGCACTTCATGCAAATATGATCTACAAAAACCTGGAAGATTCATCTTTGAATCAATGTAACTTGTGAGTATATTTTGAGGTTTGACTGATAATTTAAGACCACTGCAACAAATTGAATATGGTTTATTTATCCATATTTACAATGAGGATGACAATTATTCCCTAACATGACATGGCCATGGTTTATTTATTCACGGATCAATACACACGTATGTTAGAAACCGTGCTTTATTTATTTGGGGAACTTGCAAAATGTTTCACTATCATTTCTGATTGTTCTTGGTACATTTGTGGTTGTTGATGTTGTTGACCGATGGAACATGATTTCTTTTCTGTTACAAGTCTGTTGCAAGTCTGCACAGTCTTTGAGAATAATGGAGTTGATTTGGTCTTTTTGTTATTGTTTCAGGTGATTCAACACCTCACAAGGCAATATTTCTTGATGTGAGGAGAGAAAGCTACAACAAGAAAATACAAAGTAAAAGTGTACAAGTATTAGAAAGAAACTTTCATTTGAATCAAATGTAAAAGTTTTAAAAAAACTAGTACGAGAGCAACTTAAGCATGGCACATTGGCACTTTATAATGCGGAGATATTAACTTTGATCGATATGTATTTGTTGGATATTTTAGATTTTTGGTTTGTTGAATTTTTATATGCAATGCTTGAAGCCTCTACTTTATTTATTGTTATAGCTAGTGGTGGATGAATATACAAATTTTTATTGATGAATGATTTCGGTTATTTTTATGGTGATTATTCGGTCAACTACTAACATTTATGCATTTGAGGTTTTAAGGCATTTTATCTATATTTCAAGTTAGTTGGAGATTTGATAGACCTGTCCATCCGGGCCGGCCCGACCCGGAAATCCGGTCCGGGCCGGGCAAAACCGGAGCCCGGACCCAGGCCAGACCGGGCCAGGCTCCGAGCTGGCCCGGGTTTTTTTTATTTTTAATTTTTTTAAATTTAAAAAAACAATAAAGCATAAAATATACATAAAAATTACAAAAATTAACATAAATTTTTTTAATTAATTGAAATGACATAAATTACAAGTACAAAAAATTATAAAATAAAAAATGATAAAAATAAATTTTTTATTAATAATCATGTCATTCATATATTATACATAAACAAATTGTAAGTACTTATAGAAATTACATAAACAAATTGTATTATACATAAACATATATATAAAAAAATATAAATGATATATATATTACTTATACATATATACTTATATAAGAGAGAATATACTTATATATACTTATATAAGAGAGAATATACTTATATATACTTATATAAGAGAGAATATACTTATATATACTTATACATATATAAGAGAGTATACGCATACATATATAAGAGAGAGTATACTTATACAGTTATACATATATACACTTATATAAGAGAGAGTATACTTATATATATATTATACATATATAAGCGAGAGTATACTTATATATACTTATATTATGAGACTCTGAGAGAGAGAGAGTATACTTATATATACGTATATATACTTATACATAAATAAGAGAGAGTATACTTATACATATATACTTATATAAGAGAGAATATACTTATATATACTTATATAAGAGAGAATATACTTATATATACTTATACATATATAAGAGAGTATACTCATACATATATAAGAGCGAGTATAATTATATATACTTATATAAGAGAGAGTATATATAGAGAGAGAGTATAAATATATATATATATATATATATATATAATACATATATTATATATATACACACATACATATATTATATATATACATATATTATACATATAAGAAAATAAAAAAAATAAAAAAAAGCACTGTTCCGGGCCGGGCCGGGCCCGGGTTTCCGAGCCAAGCCCGGGCCGGGCTCCGGGCCGGCGGGCTTTTTGGACACCCCTAAAATTTGATATACTATTTGAAGTATTTATTTCCACCAAGTTTGATGCATAACTTGTGCAACTTGATTATCTTATTTCTAAATTATCTTCGAACTACAATATTAGTTTATAGATTTAGAATTTTACTAGTTGGTAAACAAGTCAATTGAAAATTTCAAAATGAAAATTCTAAAGTTTGCCAAACATGAATTTGAAATTGAATTCTGGAATTTAAATTTGGATGTTTCCAAACGAATGAATTGAGTTTGAAATACTGGATTTTAAATTTTAGAATTCAATTCTGGAATTTGAAATTAATTACTTGAATCCAAACGCAACCTAATAAAAATTGATTTATTCGCTTAACGGGTTGATCCTACCACATGGATTTAATTGGGTTATCGGGTTCCCTCTTTCATGTCCAAATCCGATAATTCTTCAACTGAACGATCAACCGCGCATACAAATCCCTATGGGGTTAGCTCAACCGCAGTCAACGGCTAACCTCGCGGCAAGCAAAGATGTTCATGCACCACGTGTCACAATCTCATTCGCTGTTGGGTTACGTTGGATCCTCCATGTGATAACCCTATCCCCTCTCCCACTCCCCCATTGGGCTTTCCCACTGCCACGTGACTTCTCTCCATGCTCTCCTCTCCTCAAACACAACAAGGGAGTGGGAAGCAACAAGAGAGAAATTAGAGAAGGAACCTAGGAAGAGAAAGAGACAGAGAACTCTGGAGAAAGAAAAAGCTCCTTCTCTTCTCCCTCTCTCTCCTGCTGTTGATTTATTATTAAGAGTACGTCTCTCTCTCTCTCTCTCTCTCTCTCTAAAACTTCTATTGAATTGATAAGAGTTGAGTGGTTCTCAACTTTTGTAAGCTAGAGGTTTGAGTACATTCCCTAGAATAAACTTTGTGGGCTTTTTCTGGGTCTCTCCTCTCTCTCTCTCTCTCTCTCTCTCTCTCTCTCTCTCTCTCTCTGTTATGTTAAAACTGCAAGCCTTCATCAATGGTTTGAACAAAACAGAGGACTCTTAATTAGTCTCCTCTGCTCTCAGAGCAAGAATTTCGAGGTTCTAGCAAATGGGCTTTTGTTTTTAGTCTTTTTACTCTTGTTCTCTTCTGTTGAAAGTGCAATCTCCCGTTACCAGTTACTCTGTTCTCAGATTACTTGTTGTGTATCTTCGTACACAGAAAGAGCAAGAGTTTTCAAGATTCCGACAAATGGGTTTTAGTTTTATGTCTTTATATTTTATGCCCCGTTAAAATTTCCCATCAATTTTGGATTTTTTTCAGGGTACCTACTGTCGGGGAGGCGGAGAGAGAGAGAGAGATCCTGCATATCTAGAAAGAAAAGATTGCCTTGAATCCAAACAAGGAATTCAAATCAGATTCATTGGTTTCACTTTCAGTCTAGTAAGCATGGCGGTTGCGCTATTACGATTAATTTCACCTGTAGAAATCCCCAGTGGTCTTAATTCTTCAGAGGCAATCAGAGGAAAAGTTTGGAGCCCGAAGTATGACAATCTTCATCGAAAGAAACCTACTTGGAGCTTGTGCTCAGTGTACACAGACTCAAAGTATGCTTGCGTCGGTTTTGAGCCTGAGAACAATGGAAATTTCCTGATCCGATCGAGCTTGGTTGCAAATCCCGCAGGAGAAGTTGCTATTTCTTCGGAGCAGAAAGTTTATGATGTTGTATTGAAGCAGGCTGCTTTGGTTAAGGATCAAAGGAGGAAGATGAACACATTAATTGATGTGAAGCCTGATATGGTTGTGCCCGGGACTTTGTATTTGCTTAGAGAAGCTTATGATCGCTGCGGCGAAGTTTGTGCAGAGTATGCCAAGACCTTTTACTTGGGTTAGATGTCTCATTGCTCATGTTGAATTGACGATAAGTTATTTCTATTGATTATGATTCTAAATTCGGTATTGATTTTGGTCAGGGACACTGTTGATGACTCCTGAGAGGAGAAGGGCCATTTGGGCAATATATGGTAAATGGTTGAGAATCTCTTCAGAATGAATCATACGCTACAATTGCCATAGACCCCCTGTACTACTATCCAATTATGGATATACCCCCCTTGTATCAGGTAGACCTCCCTAGTGATTTTTTTTTGACTCTTTCCTCAGAGGGAGGAAATTATTTTTTTGACAAATAGATATCTTGAGGGCGAAAGAGTCAAAAGAATTCACTCACAGGTCTATGTGGAACAACTACAATAGAACTATAGGGGGTCTATCCGTAATTATGTGCAGTGTACGGGGTCTACTCACAATTATCACATTTGAAATTCTCATACTTTCTTATGTTAACGAGTATTTTTTACGGTCAGTTTGGTGTAGGAGAACCGATGAGCTCGTTGATGGGCCTAACGCTTCACATATTACGCCTTCGGCCCTCGACAGATGGGAGACGAGGCTGGAGGATCTCTTTGCTGGCCGGCCATATGATATGTTTGATGCAGCTTTATCAGATACAGTATCGAGATTTCCTGTAGATATACAGGTATTTATCTTTCGTATTTCCAATAGAAGCATATTTGTCCTTTTCTTGTTAAGATTTGTGTAGGATGCATGTTTATTAATTATTTTCATCATACAGATTCATTGACTTTTCAGGATGCCATGTCATAGAAAGTACGTTTTGCATATAATATCCAAAATGGTTTGCATGTTTAATCTCCTAAAATTAAGAATTGAATTTTATAGTTGTTTGATAGCGAGGTACAAGGTTTAAAAAGACGGAAATGGTACGGTTTCCACAAGACACAGCAAAGGAGTCTTATCCAATCTTTGGTAGACCATCTCCTCTATGAATTTGAGAACTACTCTTCTCAATTATGGCAATTACGTACGCATCCTACGCAAGTCCATTCAAAACAGAGATTTTCTTATATGATACAAGATCAAGTTAATCGACTCAATCTGTTATTCCTGAAAATTCCGTATCGACTTTAACCATTCTTCTGCATATCAAATATATATATATGATACAAGAATCTGAGCATGGTATTCAAGTACAGAAACCTTATTTTCGTTCAAATTTATTTCTTTGATCCTGATGATTACTAGAAGAGACCGTGCTTGTTAGCGTTTGCAATTTCTTTATATTTCAGCCATTCAAGGATATGATTGAAGGAATGAGGATGGATCTCAAGAAATCAAGATACAATAACTTTGACGAGCTTTATCTCTATTGCTATTACGTAGCAGGGACTGTAGGTTTGATGAGTGTTCCTGTGATGGGCATCGCTCCAGAATCACTAGCAACAACTGAGAGCGTCTATAACGCTGCTTTAGCTTTAGGAATAGCAAATCAGCTGACAAATATACTCAGAGATGTTGGTGAAGAGTAAGTAATTAAAAGATCAAAAAATGAGTTTCCTACCTCTTCAGGAATCAATTCTTGAAATTGTTTGCTTACCGGTGAGCGGTTTATTGTTTCAGCGCAAGAAGAGGAAGAATATATCTACCCCAAGATGAGCTAGCTCAGGCTGGTCTTTCTGATGAAGATGTATTCAATGGAAAAGTTACAGATAAATGGAGAAATTTCATGAAGAAACAAATTAAGAGGGCAAGGATGTTCTTTGAAGAAGCTGAGAAAGGAGTAACTGAGCTCAGCCAAGCTAGTAGATGGCCGGTATGATGCTAGCATTAAAGCATATTTCCATTTTTTCTCCCCCTTTTAGATTCTAAATTGCTTTATGTTTCAGGTGTGGGCTTCTTTACTACTGTATCGTCAGATATTGGACGAAATTGAAGCAAATGACTACAATAATTTCACAAAGAGGGCATATGTAAGTAAAGTAAAGAAGTTAGCAGCGTTGCCAGTTGCATATGGTAGATCATTGATTAGCCCTTTATCGGTAAGGCAGTCGAGCGTCTTGAAAGCTTGAAAGCCGAGAAGAACCATGTATTGATTGATGTAGAAAGGCTACACCTTGTAGGAAGGAGGTAAATCAAATAGATGTTACTACATTGTATAGCAGACCTAAAGATATGAAATGCATGACGCAGTCCACTTTCTATTCTTTGGTCTAGAGTAATGTAAAATGATGGTAAAAGTGATATATTGAATGTTGAGGAAGAATATTTCGTGTATGAGTTTGTTGATCGATTTATTTTTGTAGCACTTCTTCCGACAAATTGATTCATTCCTATTTTGAGGATATATTCAGGCAATTGTTTCCTTACAAGTTAATTTCTGGCAGATGAGTTCTTTTCCCCCCTTGTGACTTAGAATTAAAATTTAAAGTTGATTCTCCAAGTGAAAACTTCGCAAGACCAGAGAAGATGATGTAGTGAAGATTCCCCTATTAAACTTTATGAAGCTATAAAACATTTTTAGAAAAATAATAACAGTAGTAAGAAGTCAAAAAACATAATATCTAAAACACTGTCAATAATTTTGATGGTAAAGTAATGTGAGTCTTTTTGACATGTATGATAATGAAAATTGATTGATTTGAAATTATCTCAAATTAAGTTATTGTAAGAAATTATTTAACAAAATGGCAAACCGGCTTTCCACCTCATCACATCAAACACATGAAGCACCAAAACCTCAAGATCACACTTTCAGCAAACAAGCAGTTCTCAGCACAATAAAGTTCATTTTCAACTTATTCAGCATCAAAGGCTGAAATAGACATAACTATATATTATTCATTTTCTTCTAAGTTTCCCATACGTATACATAGAATCACCGCACAAGGTGGATGAGACGTTGTTCAAATGTCGACTGACCTACAGGAATTGAGCTCCAGTGTTGATCAGAGCCTCTAAACTATGGCTGCACGCTGTTATAAGAATTTGAGAAGTTTGTGCCTCTTAGGTCCAACGTGCTTCTTCATGATGTTTGACATTTAGATAATTAGATTGTAGTTCAACCTGCACATCAAATAATTGAAAGTTCAGAATTAAGGTTTTAGAAGCTCTAGATACTTCTACCAATATCAGATGACGAAAACACATATACAATCAAACGGTATACATTACCTTTACATCCGCTACAAATTCGATAAATAAAAAGGTTTTCATAAACAAAAAGAATTAATCGCTTCTAACACTAATCAGGAGAAACTTCTGGATCAAGATTGAAGCTCAATTCACACTGCAAGTCCTTGAATGCTTTGCATCATTAAAAACACAAATCATATAATTATTATCAACCAAATCTAGCTACTGAGGTAAGCAACGCATGAATAAGGCTAATTTTTTGGCCAGCAAAGCATCTTAGCTAGTCTAAAAATCTCCATCCACTATACAGGGAACTAACTCAAACAACATCAAAATGAAGAAAGAGAGGAATGAACTGTTACGTTGTTTGAATTATTAGTGAACATGGGAAAGTTTTCTAGTTCAAGGAAGTTCATTCATACTTGCCTACGCTAGATTCGAAGGTGTTCCTTTATGGACAGTTCCAACTCCATTTCATTTGGTTTGGCTGCTAATAGTCAATGATGGTGCTTGTTTTAACCCTTTGGATTAAATGCATAAAATCAAGAAGAAGAAGATCAAACACATAATGGAATGGAGAGAATCAATTTTGTTCACTCAATTAGAATTTGCAACATCTCTTCTTTGGCCACCACAAGCCAAACATTCTCTTATAGTCCAAGGAGTTTTCCTAAAGAGATTATATATAAAACCACTTACCACGAATACCCGTGAACCACCTTTGTGGGTCCAAACTCAATTCATACCATATACAAATGAAGTAACTGTGGAACATGTAAAATGAAGATAACATCACAAGAGTCCCATCTCGGCTAAATTCCTGCATCTGGTCTCACTCAACGACAAGGTGAACTTGACAACATCCTTTACCGAACAATTATTTTCATAATTCAGTCAAATAATCGAGCCAATTATGATGATAAGAGTAATGCCTTGCTTTTCTCCTCAATTTTCACATCCAAGGAAGATAACTCTGCCGACATCATATCAAACTCATCAAGATGCACATTTAGTTTTGTTCCCTCTGCCATCTTAAAGTCATGTGTGTGTGCACGCACACATGGGTGCGTACTTGTATGTGTGTTTGCGTGTGTGTAATTGCTTCCTTAAGAACAAACAGTTTGATAGACTTGAATTTGTACCTGCCCTCCAACTTCTTCCAAATCGTCGTAGGATTCTCCAACACCCTAACATCCCAAATTGTGTTATCTGCCAAGAATATTTGAATTGTTATATTCTTTCTGTCCTGTAGATCCTGTGGTGCGCGGCGGCCACCAATCGTTGTGCTTCGAGGAACCAAACCAAAAAGTCGAGATAGAAGGCTAAACAATCCAAGATAATGATACAAACACAAACAACCAATTTTTACGTGGTTTAGCAAGTTGCCTACGTCCACGGGGCAAGAAGGGGATGGAGTTTTTACTAATAGAGAAGAAGAGTACAAACTGAGATTACAACTCACTCAAAAATATCAACTAATCTCACCAACAAATCTCTAATTCTCTTCAAATAAAACCCTAACTAATAGCTCAGAAAATACCTTTTTCTATGCTCCAAATAACCCCCAATCAATGCTTAATCAAAACCCAATCAAAGTCAAAGAAACCCTAAAAAACGTGTCTCTATTTATAACAAAACACAATCCCAAACGGATTGGGATTCTAAAAAATGAGTCTGCCACTTCTAAAAAATGAGTCTGCCACACTCGGGGGTGGCAGACACCACACCCCTAAAAACAAGACAGATTCTGTCACACTTGAGTGTGACAGATACCACACCCATATCAACAGGGACAGATTCTACCACCTGGGTGTGGCAGACACCACACCAGGGTGTGGTGAAACATGTCTTGCTTATTTTTTACGTTTTTCTCAAATTCCTTCGTTGTTTTCACAATTCTCCATCTCGGTGAAGTTTTCCCAAAACTGAGCCGACACCAACCAAATCAAACGTCTCACTTGTTGCATCTAGTACGAAGTGGAACAAAACCACGGCAACTGACTCAATCCACAACAAGTTGAGAACCCAAACGAGAATGCGAACAAATTCCAAATGTCGGTATCAACTCACCAAACCGGCTGCATCATAAATGACTGTCTACGTATCCTCTTGCCCAGGAATCAAGCATTCATGTAATTTACCCAATTGAAAGTATCCTAATGCCATTAGGAAGGAACCCTAGAGGGGGTGAATAGGGTTTATGCTAATCTAATATGATTTATGCCAAATTAAAAACTAATTAACAAATATATCCTAGCAAATGAGATATGAACAAGATATGTGCAAGGATATACAAGTTAACACAAGGGTTAACAAACTAAACTAGATAGTGGGCAATATAAACAATGAGCAATTGACAAATGCAATATGAATAATAAGCACAAATGTAAAAGTGCACCAATGCAATCACAAACACACGACATGTTCACGGAGTTCGGTCCCCACGACCTACGTCTCCGCTCCTCACCTCGAGGAGATCTCCACTATCACACCACGACCTACGTCTCCGCTCCTCACCTCGAGGAGATCTCCACTATCACACCGGGTTTTCTACGCTTACTCGAAAAACGTTTACACCTTTCCTCACCTCGAGGAGATCTCCACTATCACACCGGGTTTTCTACGCTTACTCGAAAAACGTTTACACCTTACAATATCGGTTTTCAATGCTCACCGATCAACATTCACAATCAATCACAATGTAACTACACTAACTATTACCTCAAGTGTTGGTCTCTAGCCCATGTCTCCCTCAAGTGTTAGGAATTACAACCTCTCTCTAGGCATTATCACCTATCCCACTCTTCTTGGGACGATCCCGTCTCTCACCACACACATCTCTTGGTGTACTAGTGTAATACAAAGTGAACCTCACAATAATAGCTCACAATACAAATGATTGTTCTCTAAACAAGGTGAGAACTCAACTAAGCACAACTCAAAGTTACAATCTCTCACAACCTCAATTATACTATGTATGAAAATACTAGAAGCTCAAGTGGGTGTGTGTAACAAGGAGATTTAATAAAACAAACTAAACTCAAATAAATTTAGCTTTAAGGAAATGAAAAGCAAACAAATAAATAGCTAGATAAGAGTTTAGAAAAACTTCTCTATAGATAACAAGATAGAGGGAGAAGAGTGAATGCTCAAACACCAAAGGATGATCTTCACTTTGCTTTTGTGAAAATTGCTTCACAAACTAAACTCTTAAACAAACTTATACAAAACTTAAACGCCCTTTTTAAAACTTGTTTAAAAACTTTCTTCTTCGTTGTTTTTGGTCTGAGGTACGAGGGATATTTATAGAGACCCCAAGACATAAAAAAATCAAAGCAAAAAGACCAATAAACTAAAACTGGAATAGGCTGAAAAAAAACTAGTCGTTACAGCATCAGTCGACTGACGGCTTTCATCAGTCGACTGATGAACTGACCGTTAGAGGTATTTTCCAACTCATCAGTCGATTGACAATCTTTATCAGTCGACTGATGGACCATCACTCGACTGGTTAGTCGACCAAAACAAAACAAAAGTTTTTGGTAACTGCATGCACTTTTATCAGTAGACTAATCGGTTGAATGATTGCATCAGTCGACTGACTAGTCGACTGATAACAAGTATACAGCCTGTTTAAAGCATAATTCTAATTTTTAAACTGCTTTTAAAAATAGCAAACAAATTCCAAAAAATATAAAACTTTGAGAAATGATTGTGGACATGATAATACACATGTTACAAAAACTGGTTTTCAAAAATCACCTCCCAAATGTGAAAACTCTTTATTTTTTAAATATGTTCAAAAACATGAAAACTAAACATACATGTTTTTGACATTTGACTTAACAAACTTTTGAAACTAAAACTAAACATACATGTTTTTGACATTTGACTTAACAAACTTTTGAAACTTTGTGAAATGTTTTTATAGACTTGA